ATGGACAGGGCTCCATCCTGCCCTACCCAGGACCTGCCTGACTCTGGTGCCCACCCCTCGGGCTGGCCCTTGGGGCGCTGGCCAGGCAGGAGCAGAGATGGCCGCTGCAAGCAGAGGAAGGCGGCCCTGAATTAATCTGTCACTAAAGCTTGGCCATGGCAGGCGCAGTCATGATTTAGATGAATAATTGAAACGCTCCGATACATTTATTATCCCTTTAGTGCGAAAGTGGCAGAGAAAGACGAGGGGTAATTGAAAAAGAGCGCACAAATCTCCACGAGAAAGCCGGCTCCTTATCGCCGAGTAAACATTTCAGTCCTAATAAACAGGAGAGACACGCGTCAGGGCCCTGTCGATTCCCATCCTGATTTAGGGCCCGCCTCCCTTCTTACCATACAATAGGAGTATTTTTTTAAACAAAATTTTTTACTGAGCTAGTAAAAGGCTCTCCAGGAAGGAGGCGGGAGCGAGAGTGGGCCTGGCAGTCCCCAGACCTGAGCGTCTCCCACCGCAGACCCTTGGCCCTCTACCTAGTGGGCCTCTCCACCCCTCTGTACCTGTTGAACTCCTATACAGCGATTAGGGCCCAAGTTAAATGCCCCCTCTGCAGGGAAGACATCTACCAAAATGTGTCTCTTTGAGGGCAGAGTCAAGTCTTGGGTTCCAGTGTTTGACCCAGATGTCCCCCGCCCCTGCCCCCGCCCCCATACGCATAACCCCAGAATGAGCCCTGGGAGGAAGCAGGGAGCAGGGGGCCTTCCCCAAGTTTTATCGGGACCACTGAATGAGGCAGGCCCAGTGGCCCCTGGGGGGTCCCACTGAGGTTTGAGGTGCCAGCTGACTCCCTTCCCTAGAAACTCACAGTAAACACTGTGGGCTCACCACACCAAAGTCCTGCAGGCCAACGCTGGCCCCTCTTCCAAGAGTCTCCTTCTGAGCTGATAGCTGCCCTCCCCTGATAGGACTGGATGGGAACCCCTGGGCAGGGCTGTTAGATCTGTGTCCCAGCTCCTAGGGCAGCAGCCAGCACATGGGGGTGCAACGAACCATCCCATAAAGGCTATTCTAGGGGCTTGGAATCCCCTGAACCCTGCTCCTGGGGAGAGTACATTCTAGTTGGGGAAAGGCGATAGAAACAAACCTAAAACACAATCATGTTTAGAGGGGACAAATGCTCTGGGAAAAGCCACAGAACTGGGTGAGAGATCAGCCCGGCGGGCTGTGGCTAGCTGGAGGAGTTTTAAACACAGTGGCCAGGGAAGGCTGAACGGGACTAGTGCTGATTAATGCATGGATGGTGGGTGATGGGTAAACAGGTGGTGACGGGAGGGTGGAGGTGGGTAGAGGTCTGAACCCCTGCAGGGCTGGACTCATAAGAGGGCATGCGGCAAGACCGGGGTCTGTCTGGGCAGACTCAGGTGGGCACCCAGCCCCCAAGTCCCAGGCTGCTCCTGCTTGTGCCCTCCACCCTGGCAGGTCAGTGGGTTAAGGCTGGAGGGATCAGGAGGTGATAGAGGGCACATGTGGCAGCTGTGACAGCAGAGGACATCCCAGGGGTCTGGGGCCTGTTTTCATTCCCACCCCAGGCGGGCACCAGGCCCCTACCAGCCCCAGCCTCGCCACAGTTCCAGTCTTCTCCCCGCCACCTCCACCTTGTTGCAATCACATTAGCAGAGTGACAGCCCCAGCGAGCACTGGCGGCGGCTCCATAAATCTCGCCCGGAGTTAAAGGCTGGACTCCGGGCCCACTTCCTCCCAGGTCCTGGCCCACCCCATCCATCTCTGCGTCAGTCAGGCTGTGCCTGGGGCCTGCTCCAGCCTCCTCTCACCTTCAATGCTGCAGGAACAGGAGCTAGAAGGACCCCACTGGGCCTCCCTCCTCAGTCTGGCCACCCTCCCAGAGTGAGGTCACCAGGCCATCTATGAGCCATTCCCTGCTCTGCCTGAAGCCTCAGTGGCTCCCACCACCTTTGCCAGCAAGTCTTTTCCTTTACATGTGAGGCCATCCCTGCCTTTACCTGTAGTTCATTCATTCATTCATCAACCAGTTACTGAGCACCTACTATAAGTGCCAGACCCAGTTCTAAGAGCTGGAGATACAGTCATGTTCTCTGGTGCGAGGAGACAGACAATAAACAATGAACATAATAAGTAAATTATACGGCACGCTAGGAGAGAGTTACTTGGAGCAAAATAAAAATCAGAGCAGCATGAGGAGTCCGGGGAGTGCAGGGTGAGCCTCACTGAGAAGATGGCATGCAAATAAACACTTGTAAGAGGTGAAGGGAGCAGCCATATGGTGATCTGAGGAAGAGTATTCTGGGCAGAGGGAACAGCCAGTGCAAAGGCTCTGAGGCAGGAGTGGGCCAGGTCTATTCCAGGAACAGCAGAGAGGCTGGTGTGGCTGGCCCAGAGTGGGGAGGGTCAGGCAGTGTGGTGGGGAGCCTGATAGGAAGCTTGAGACCTTGTGGGCCATGCTGGGGACTTTGGCCTTGGCTCTGAGTGAGGTGAGAGCCCTGCGAGAGTTTTGAGCAGAAGGGTGATAAACTGATTTAGGATTTACAAGGCTCACATCTTCCTTTTTGTGATCTGAAGTGAATGGCTAAAAACCAGCTCCTTACATGGCCTCTGAGGCCCCACATCATCTCCTGTCTCCCCTCCTCCTGGCTGGGCTCCAACCACTCCAGCCTTTGGAGTATCCCCAATGGCCCCACGTTCTCCCTCACTTCAGGTCTTCGCCTGTACTGTTCCCTCTGCCCAGCACACCCTTCCCACTGCTCTTTGCCAGCTGTCTCCTACCCATTCCTTGGTCCTCCAGGAGACTCCTTGGTGCCCAAGCCTGGACAGGTGCTCCTCATTGAGGCCCCAGCTGCCATCATACAGACCACCCTGTGTCACGGTGGTGCTCCTGTCTGCAGGGACCAGGCCCTTCTGGTGCCCAGCAGATTTGTCCCAGCACACAGCTAAGGGCCTGGCACACAGTAGGCGCTCAATCACTGGGTGATGAAGGAGAGGGTGGCATGGGCACAGTAGGACAGGTGTCAGATCCACTAGGGTCCCTGAGTCCTCCAAAAGGACAGCCTTCAGACGAGGATCGTAGATGTGCCTGGCTGCGGGCTCCCAGTCCCCAGTGAAGCCCCCCTCATTCTGTGAGGCTTCCAGGGTAGCTGTGACCTCCACATGGACAGCTGGAGGAGAAGCGGGGGAGGGAAAACATCTCTAGTCACAAACAGACCCCCCCATCCTGCATCCTGGCTGGTCACCGACAGCTCTTAATGCTGCTCTTATTTATTCCTGACCTTCTATGCCCCTTTTATTTTTCCCCCTTTTAAAACCTGGCCTGGGCCCCGCCACCACTGCCGTAAACACGGCCCCTGGGATTTATCCGACGGCGCATTAACCCCTGCCCTCCGGCTCACCAATCATCCTGCTGCCTGCACAGACAGTGGGCAACCCAGCCAGCTGGGGGCTGAGGGCTGGGGGCGAGGGGCTGGTGTGGGCAGCCTGGGCAGGGCTGGCCAGGGGAAGCAGGCACCAGGGGGCATAGGGACTGCCCCCTGCCCCACCCCCGGCACCTGCAGACCTTGGCTTGCATCCCTGGGGGCTGGGCCCACTCTCACCTCTGACCTCCTGCCCACCTGGCCCTGCTGGAACCCCTGTTCCATGCTGGTCCTTAACAATAGTGAACACACATGCATTCTCCTAGACTTCATGGTTGGTGGACCTCTCCCTGACTTGACAGGATCTTGTCCTGGCTGCAGAGCTGCCCTGCGAGGCTTCAGGGCAGAGCACAGATACTAATTTTGCCCTCACAGGTGGGGAAAGTAAGGCCAAGGGGGCACAAGGCTTGCTGAGGTCATGTGGGCACCAGGGGCAGGGCTGGGCTCTCTCATCACACTTGTGGCCTCCAGTCCCAGGAGCAATCTCTTTTAAACCTCAAGTGTCCCTCTGGCCCCCAGTTACAGACTAAGAGGCCTCTTCAGAGGGTGGGACCTACCGCAGTCACCTAGCAGTGAGGGAGCCTGGCCTGCCGTCCAGGTGTCCAGCTTTGTCAACAGTAATGGCTGACAAGGCGAGGCCAGGAGGGTGGGAGGCAGTAAAGAAGGGCAGAGATGGAGAAATGGGAGAGGAGCACAGTGGGGACAAGGGGGAAGGCTGTGGGGAAGGCACAAGGCCCCCAGGTGGGCCCAGAAGCTTTCCCAACCCCCACCCACCCCGCGCCCCAGACCGCAGGAAGGGTTCACTCACCGCCGCCGCCTCCAAGCAGGGAGCTGTTGGCTGCAAGAGAGACAGAAAGGCTGTCAGTCGGGGAGTGGCTGGTGGGGCCGGCAGCTGTGTGGAGGGGGCCCGAGTGCCAGCCAGCTCCCTGGGCACAGAGTCTCCTCTGAGGCCAGGGCAGATAACCAGGAGGTGGAGGGGCTGGGACATCCTCTCCCGCTGAGGCTGATGTGCCTGGGTTTGTAGGGTGGCAGAGTCAGGGGCACCAGGGTCTGGCCTGCTCAACGCAGAAGCAGCCACACGTGGGGTCTAGAGGAGCAGACGATCCTCGGCCATACACGTCCTTTTGTTCACTCATTCTTTTCTTCCCACAGTGCCTACTTAGCCCCACCTGCGCCAGGCCTGGTGCAGAGACCGTTCGGGTCACAGACCGGAGCCATCGCTGCAGCCGTGGTCAGAGCTGCCCAGGAAATGAGGTTGTGGAGGGAGAACTGTGACCCCGGGCTGGTGGCCTGCACGACAGCCCCGGTGTGCGAGACCCGGGCTCCACCCCTGGGCAGCACAGTGAGGGCCTGGGGCACTGGGACTGGAACAAAAGCCGGGTTCAACACATGTGTGACTTGAGCCACTTTGCTGTGGGCCTGTTTCCCCATGTGTCAATGGGAAAACAGGCCGTCTGACAGGGTGGGTGTGAAGGTCAAGGAAGAGAGAAGGCTCCTCCATTCCAGCCCCCAGGCCCCAGCACCTTCCTTCCTCCGGAGCCTGGCGGAGGCTGTGGCTACTCTGTCTGTCTTGCTCTACCTGGCCGGCTGGCCTCTCTCACCTCCCCACAGGGCCAACGCAGGGGCAAAGTGAAGCTGGCAGCCTCTCCGCCAGGAAGTCAGGGCTGTAGCAGCCCAGCGCCCCTCCCAGCCTGGGCTCCAGCTTCCGGCCACACAGCTGCATTTGCGTTAAGCACTGGTGCTAATCAAAGCAAGTGATGGGAGACCCAGGGCAGGTGTGTTCCCCAGGCCCAGGTGCTGCCCGGGGTGGGGGAGGGGATCAGCTGTGCCTCAGCCCCTCGGGCCCCAGGAGTTCTGGCACCAAGCAGGGCCATCAGCTCTGACACCACTCTGGCAACCCACCCTCCCTTCCCAGGTCCTGAGGCAGCCCCTCTATAGGAGGTCAATAGGGAGCAGAGCCCAGGCCAGGAGCGGGGACCATTTCCAGGCCGACCAGGCCGCAGGCCTGGGGTGCTGTGCGGAAGCTGTGGACACTGCTAAGTGGTGTCGGGTGGCTCTGAGTGGCTGGTCTCCCAGAGCTGACAGCTCTTCGCTTGGGGAATAATTAATTCCACAGACCGAAAACCCAGGGCTGCAAGTTGCCACGTTACTTGCAAGATTAATACAAGCAGCTAATTAAGATGGAGAGGCGAGGAGCAGCTGGGCGCTCCCAGAGCAGGGGTGGGGGGCCACGGGGAACGTGGGAGCAGGCGGGCTGAGCAGGCAGGGAGGCAGCCCAAGTCAGAGTGAGAGCAGGAGATGGACCACGGCGGGACACCTAGGCAGGCACGGCAAGCCGCTGAGGGGCTGGGCTCCCAAAGGCTCCAGATGTGGCCTCTGCCCCTGGAACACGTTTCCAATGACTGACCGCAGGCTACTTGCCAGGCACAAACTGATCTCTTTTAGTATCATAACAAAGCCACAGGGGAGGTGCTGTTGCTCCCATTTTACAGATAAGAAAACCAAAGCTCAGAAGTTGAAAACCAAAGCACAATAGCAGGTCCAGAACTGGGTCTCTCTGACTCCAAAGCCATGGCACAAAGTGGGCCAACCTCAAGGCAGACTGCCTGAGAGACCGTCAGAGGGAGGCTCCTCTCCGCCAACCCCATTGCCAGGCTGGGGTCTGCCTCCTCCACACCCCGGCAGAGCACACAGTAGATTCCCCCAGATCAGTCTTGACTCAGCCCCGCCCCAGCAGGTTGGCTACAGAGATGAGGGGCTCGATGCCTGGACTATTCAGCCCCAGAGCCAGCAGGGAGGTCCCAGCATCTTGGGTCAGTCAGTCTGGGTCCAGTCCTTGGCCCTCAGGGCGGTCCTGGCGGCTGTCAGAAGCTGCCCTCCATGGCCCTTCCCTACCTCCCCCCATCACCTCTCTCTCTTAATTAACACTGGCTGCAAACGAGCTGGCTCTTGCTCGGGGAGGGCTCAGTGCCAAATGGACTGGCAGCGAGCCTCGAAGCAGTGGGAGGGGAGGGGGCACCGACCTGCTGTTCTGCAGGCCCCTCTTGGAAGGAGATGCCAACACCCACCTGCCTGGTACCCACTAAACCCCACTGTGTGTGGCCCTGTCCGGGTAAGGGGACTGGGGTGAACTGATCTGATGTTCACCAGGCCGGGAACATCCAAGGGCTGAGGAGGGAGGTGGGTCTGGACAGCCTGAGCTGAGGAAGGGGGATCAGGTAGCAGGTGCCATTACTGGCCACAGGTGGAAAAGGGCAGGTGCAGCCCAGCACTGGGGGCTCAGACGCGAGCTGTACAGAGGACCTGGTCACTAGCCTGTCCCCAAGCTCAGCAGGCCTCCCAGGAGGCCGGTCTGCTGTGTCCCCTTCCCCCAGCCCATGGCGCCCAGCAGTCTCATGGTGGGGGACTAGGGGGAATGGCAGTGACCCTGTGGTCTGGACCCTGTTCCTTCACTCCTCTTTCCCCTGGACCCCTGTCTGGCCCTCTCCCCAGGGGTCTGGACACCTGGCCACATGGTGCCCCTTAAGGCTTCCCAAGGCGCTCACAGGTGGGCCAGGCTGCTGCAGGGATGGCCTGGAGGCTTGGGGGGAACACTGAAAATGGGGAGCAGTGCCAAAGATAACACAGGCAGTCAAATGTCGGCACCCATTTTCTAAACCCCTGCGTGCTCCCTCTGTCTGGAAGAGCCGTCTTGCCGAGGTGTGGTGATGGGTGAGTGTGATGTGGACGAGCACTGGACTTCAAGTCCAAGCCAGAGTTTGTGACTCAGCCCCACCCAAAGGACCCAAACCTGCCCCAGCAAAGCAGGGTCAGCGAGCTTGTGAGGGGCTGAGCAAGCAGGGCGCAGGCCTCACCAGGGGGTTTGTAGTGGGGGAGCTTAGGCTTGTTCTGGCTTTGGTGGGGCGTAGGCTCCTGGGCCAGACTGTGCGCCTCCAGGACTGTGAGCTGCCTGGTCTGAAGCCTGCCATCCGAGTCTGCGTGTCTGTCCCACTGCGTGGCGAGGTGGTCCAGCCCTGCCGCATCCCCTGCCTGTGAACGTGCCTGTGCCATGCTCTGCTGGACAGCTGACTGGCTCCGAGCCTCAGTGCTGGGCTGTGACCTTGGGGTGGAAATGAGGTCCACCCCAGCCACTGCCAAATCCTCTGTCCCCTGATAGCAGCCCACCAGGCCAGGGGTGCCCTGGGGGCCTCACTCCCCGCCTCCCACACATTCTGCCAGCCCTTCTCTGCCCCTACACTACCACTCATGCAGTGCAGTCCCCACCCCCAATTTCGCCTTCTGCCCACTGCACACCTTCTTAGGCCCAGGGCACCTGGGGAGCCCCAGCCCCTGCCCCACCCCCCAGCATCTGTTGTCCTTGTGGGCAGGAAGAGCCACTCCCCAGTCTGCGCCCCAGTCCCTGGTCCCATTTAGGTTCTGGCATGTGGCCACTGCCTGGTGAAAGGGAGAGGGCCAGACCCAGAGTGCTTGGCCACTGTCACTTCAGGGGACCCAGCAGCCCCTCCATCGCTTTCTACACACAGCCTTTTAACTGGGTGCCAACCATGTGCCAGGGGCCACCAAGCACACAGAGATGAGCAAGACACAGCCCCAGGGCTCAGAGTTGGGTAGGGGGAGAGTGTAAACGTCCCGGTGAGGGGGTTACCAGAGCTGGAGCAGCCTGCAGGCTGGGGCCTTCCCAGAGGAGGTGGCAGGTAAGCTGAGGCTTGAGGGAGGCAGCAGCACACCTTCCAGGGAAGGAAAGGTACGGAGCGGGCACGGCCCATGTGAAAGGGCCTAATGAGTCTGAGCATCTCCCTGGTTGGGATGGGGAGCCATGGGGATGCCTTTGCTGGGGAAGAGTAAGGTCGGCTTTGCCTGACTCTCCACAGGCCCAGCGAGGAGCAGAGGGGCCAGAATGCGGTTGAACCAGGGCAGCAGCAGCGTGAACCTGTGAACCGGGCTGGGGAAGAGGGGGAGGGCAGGGGGAGGATGGCACACAGACACCTCTTCCCGTTCTGGTTGCTGCCCCCTGCCCCCTCCGCCCTGCCAGGCAGCACCTTAACAGAAGAGCTGCCCCCACTTTGAGGGCCGAGGTGAGCAAAGTAGACACATCCCTGGGGACTGTGGAAATGTAACTTCTCTTAAAATTGGAAGGAAAAAATGAACTTTGAGGTTGAAGAAAACATATATATAACATTAAATATATATAAATACATAATATCAAATGTTAAAATATTTGTCTTTATGTTATGTAATATTTTTATAGTGGAAGGGCCCATGGTGGCAGGAATGTCTGGCCAGGTAAGCTCTGTCCTGGCATACAGAAGCTCATTTCATTCTTATCCTGTGTGGAAGGTATTAACTGGCCCATTTTACAGATGACAGAGCTGAGCCATGGAGAAGGATCTTCCCACAATGCAAATGTGAGCATCTCCTTTGTTACCCCCAGCTTCCTGATTAAAGGTCCAAAAGCTCCCTTTGGCTCTCAGGATAAAGAACCAGCCCCTCACATACCACAGGCACACGACCCGCTGACCCATCACCTCATCTCATTCCTCTCTCCCCTCACCTTTCCCTTGGTCACACTCTAGGCCCTCAAACTTGCCCCGTTTCCTCTGGCCCCCGGGCCTTTGCATGGGCTTGTCCCTCTGCCTGGAGGAGACCCTCACCATCCCCCTGAGAGCCAGGAGCACACCCAGCTACCCAGGTCTGGAGCTTGTCCTCCGCTGCACCCTCCGGTGGGCCATGAACCACTGCCTCCAGCATCCTCACGTCCCAGGTAAGTGCCTACCTTGCTACCCTCCTCTCTGAGCCCTGTGTGTCTCATCCACAGTGTGTCCCCAGTGTCCAGCACAG